CTGAAGAGAAACCAGACCAACCAAATCTCACCAAACAAACAAACCACCAAGATTCTGGGACAGAGAAGCTGAAAGCAGAATACTTTCCTGCAACAAAAGAAGTAAACACAGGAGATTCAACTTTTTCAGAAGATAAACCAAGTCCAGCTCAACCAGAACCAGAAAATATCTCTCCAACTAAACCAGATCAAACTAAACTAGATCCTCTTACTGCAGAGCAACAACAATTGGACAGTTCTCCCCTGAGAGATAAACTTCCTTTTCCAAAACCACTAACACCAGATCCTCTTTGTACAGACCAGATAGAACCAGGAGATCCTCTTGGACCAAAAAATGAACAAGAACTAAGTCACTCCCAGGATTACCCAAACCAGAGGGACCTGTGTCTTCCTGACCAAAAGCCTGAAGAGGTTCCTCTTCCAGCTCCTTCAAAAGATTTAACTGCTCTCAGTCCAACACTTGAAAAACAAATCCTGAAGGAGCTCGAGCAGGCTGGTACTTTTGCAGACCTGCAGAACCACGTGTGTCCTCCCACCGAATCGTTGGCCCTGGCACCGCCGACTCCATCCCTAACCATTGAGGAGTTCTGTGACCAAGTATGGCCCCACCTGGCGGTTTCTTCCACAGGTGAGCCCAAACTCTGTGGGTATCTGCAGAAGCAGGGGGGGCCGCTGAAGGCCTGGAAGCAGCGCTGGTTCACATACGAGGAGAAGAAGAACCAGCTCTTCTACTACCGCACGCCGCAGGATGTGATGCCGCTCGGCCGGGTGGAGCTCAGCAGTGCCACCTTCACCTACCCGCTGAAGGCAGAGAAGGGCACCTTCCACATCAAGACACCTGAACGCACCTTTATACTCAAGGTACGGGGGCCTCGGACAGATTTTGGCCACATTTGATTGGAAATGTATTGGCTGGAGTTTTGTGTTCAGACATGACGAGTGGATAAATTTTAAACGTCTCCGTTCATCTACCCCTGACCTCCAGGCCGTGACCCAGGAGCTGATGCTGTACTGGCTGCAGCAGCTGCAGGTGAAGCGCTGGCAGCACAGACAGACCAGCTCTGACCCAACAAACAACAACAACAACACTGCAGGTGAGAAACAAACATTCACTGTCAGCTGTAGCTGAAACTGCTGCAGCTACAAAACTAAATAACTAAAACAGTGTGTCTGTGTAAAGAAACCAAAACAGTGCACTCACCAGCTGTATGTTTTTATTGTTTTTACATGAATTTACTTCTTTATATTCTTTATATTCTTTTATTTATGTTGTTGAGTCTCTGCAGGAGTTAGAGATAATGCATCTTTGTTTAAAACCAAAGATGCAGACATACAATCAGAAAATACTAAGCTATAACTGGTCTGATAGTGGTTTAACTGGTCCAATGTGAGTTTAACTGGTCTGACTCTTGGTTTAACTGGTCTGGTGTTGGTTTAACTGGTCTGATAGTGGTTTAACTGATCCGACTATTGGTTTAACTGGTGTTA